CAGTGAGTTTGGTTGGGGCTTTACTTCCTTCCAGTGGGTCTGGTTGGAGCTTTGCTTCAGTGAAGATTGACAGCCTTGGAAACCGTGTGGGGCAGTTCCATTCTGTCCTCCAGGGTCATTAATGAGTCAAAATTCAGTCGATAGCAACAGGTCACTTCATTTCACTCTCTCTTTAGAGGGAGAGAAGGGAAAGAGGGGCCAAGCGGGTAAGTGGAAGGGGCGGGAGATGACACCAGTGAGACGGAGGGCAATCGGGATGATTCTGCATATTTGTGCCATTTGAGGGCTTATTTTGTGTCCCTTCTTGTCCCTGTCATTTCCTTGGGCTGCCTGTCCTTCACCTCCTGATGACTTTCCTGGGGCAGAAAAATTAGTCTAAGCCACTGTGTCAGTCTGTTTCATGAAGGGTGTGCCTCTTTTTCTTGGATTCTCTGGCCCCTCCTGATGACATGTCCCAAGTTCATAAGATGAAATCTTTCCATCCTTGCTTCTAAGGAGTATCTATCTGGCTGTATTCTTCCAAGACAGATTTATTGTTCTTCTGGTAGATTCTAGATTCTTTGTCAACACCATAATTCAGGTGCCAATTCTTCAGTCTTCCTTATTCCTTGTCAAGTTTTTAGTTTTTTTTTTTTTTTTTGGAGGTAACTGAAAATACTAATGCTGTGGCTTGAGTCAAGCCCACATTGGTCCTTGATGTGACATTCCTAAAATAAAACCAAACTCAGTGCAATCGAGTAGATTCCAACTCATAGTGACCCCCTTTGATTTTCCAAGGCTTTAAATCTTTATGGAAGTCAACTGCCCCACCTTCCTTCCCAGAAGCGGCTAGTAAGTTTGAACCACCAATCTTCTGGTTAGTAGTCAGAGGCCTTAGGAGGCCCACCACGAGAGCCAGGCACCCACAACACATGCTCACTCACACCTGTGGACCATGCTCTGGTCTTTGCTCCTGCACCTTTCAGCCAAGAGCTCCCACTGACGTCCTAACGCATCCTTCTTTAACATTATGTATGCATTTGAGAAAACCAGGATTTTTCTCTAGAGGGGAAATAAGGACAGCGGCAGACAGACCCCAAGTCTCTGGGGAAGCCACGGAACCCAGAAGTCACTGAGCAGAGCCCTCTGGTCCGTACTTGGAACCTGTGCCTTGTGGCACTGAAAGTCTCAGAAACCGGAAGTCACTGAGAAGAGCCCTCTGGTCCGTAATCGGAACCCCTGCCCTGTGGCACTGAAAGTCTCAGAAACCGGAAGCGGAAATGTGCCTCCCTAGTTCGTCAGCCACATTTTCTCGTGCTCCCGCTCGGGTGGGCACTACGTTTTGTATCCCTCGCCATCCAGTCTGCTCCGGTGCTAGGTGAGTCTGTGAGCTGCTCTCCTGCGGAGTCCAGGCGTCTCAGCCCTTCCTGGGCTGCCCCAGAGACCTGAGACCCCTTGCAACCATGATGTGCTGGGGAGCCCCTCGCCATTTTCATACTGCCTCCTCCGAAGGCACACGCAACCCCACCTTCGCTCTCTGAGGCGTTGGGTGTGGGTTTGTTTCTGCGTAACTGGGCTGGGGATGGCTGACCGTGTGGGCTAGAGCTAGGTCTCACGGCGCTACGAACCAACCAGTTCATTCCTGTTCGCACCCTGCTGAAAATCTGCACAGTGGTTAAAACAATTGGCTGCTAACCCAAAGGTCAGGAGGTTGGGAGTTGGAATCCACCAGCCACTTCTTTGGAGAAACATGAGGCAGCCTTGTTCTGTAAAGACAGCCTTGGAAACCCTATGAAGTTCTACCCTGTCCTCTAGGGGCGCTGTTAGTGGGAATCAACTCCATGGCATTGGGTTTGGGTTTGAACAAGTTCCCAGGTGATGCTAGTGCTGAGGTTAGGGGTCAGTCCTGAGACGCACCAGTAGAGCAGTGGTTCTCAATGTTTATTATACATAGGAGTCACTCAGGGATCTTGTTACAGTGTAGATGTTGATTCAGTATACAGGTATGCGCTGCGTAACGTCCACGGGGGCACCGTCCAACCTAATACACGTCCACAGTAACCTAAGGCTATCATGCAGTTTAGAAGTCCCAAAGATAAAACTGGACCTAGAGAACTGTACTTGCTAAGTAGGGAGCTCTAATCTGTCTCTCACTAACTCTTTGGGTCCCAGGTCTACCCCAGGCCAATTTGGTAGCTGAGAAAAGTATAAAATTATATGCTATTTCTTGTGTACCAAAGGAAGCAAAAATTTCTAATTCGATCTGCTTACATTTCCATTTAATAATACAGGCAAGTTGTTTAAGAAAGACTGTAATAAAACTGGTTGTTGGGCCTAAAGGCTCAGGACCATGGTCATCGAGGGGACATCAAGCTCAACTGGCATCATATACTACACAAAAACACTGTTCTACATCCTACTTTGGTGAGTAGCCACTGGGGTCTTAAAAACTTGCAAGCGGCCATCTAAATGCAACAATGCGTCTCTTCTTGTCCAGGGCAAAGAAGAATGAAGAAAACCAAAGATGCATGGAAACAATTAGTCCAAGGGACTAGTAGACCATGTAAACCTCAGCCTATATGACCAGGGGACCAGAAGAACTAGACAGTGCCTGGTTACCACTGCCAACCACTCGGAAAGGGTTCAGTGAGTAGAATGGGAAAACAATGTGGAACAAAACTCAAAATCATAAAAAAGAGACCCCTGAGACTATGGCCCCTACTTACTCCTTCCCTCTCCTCCCTATGCCTTCCTTGTCTGTGCATTCCTGTCTGTCCAGCTTCCTGAGAGGGCCACGGTTTTCCCTGAGATGCAGAGTGTGGGCGTGTGTGCTGGGTGCAGGAGCAGAAACTTCTCTAAGGAGAGGCAGGAAATGGAGGAAGTCCCTGCCTGGTTGCCTCTTAATGGATACATCCATTCATTCATTCACTTAAAATGACCAATTGGGTCTTTAGTACACATGAGGTGTACAGACAACCCATTTTCCAACTAAAATTCCACCAATCAGGTAATAACAGCAGTGATGACATCCGTTTTAAAATCAGATGGAGGTTAACAGCTTCAACTACTTACTGTCTACATTAAGGAGACTATGAAATCCTACTTCATGTGACAACTGTCATGTGGAAATCTCAGGTTCCTGTCTTTGTTTTGACATCAACCACCCATGCAGCATTCTCCTCTGACTCTCAGCCACCTGGGGGTAGTCCAGATGTCCCAAGTTAAAAGGACACTGCCCTTCAGATGACCAAACAGACACCAGCAGCCAAGTTTGGAAGTTGGAACGACTCCCAACTTCTGATCTGCTGTTTCAAAGGTTGAGGGTGTCCTCTCAAGTCTGAAGAACAGCAGCCTAAATAAAGATCAGGGGTCCTGAGTCCGCTTACTTCTGAGGTTCCTTTTGGTTCAGTAATTCACTGGAGCGACTCAAGAATACACAGGAAGGCCATGCTTACGACACTGGCTTAAATATAACAAAAAAGAATGTAAATGAAGGGATGCATGGGGCGAGGTGTGGGGGGGCCCCGAAGCAGAGTTCCCATCTCCCCGGGTCACACTACCTTCCACGTGCATGGATCTTTCTCACCAACCAGGAAGCTCCCTTAAGCCTGTGACATCTGTACTTACATTGGCCGGTCCCACACGAGAATGCCTCAGTGTGCCTCAAGAGCTGGGCATCAGCCGCTAGGTATTACTCACCCCGACTCAGGAGGCTCAGCTGCAGTCTGTCAAGAACCTTGAGCAAACCACAGACTGCCTTCTGCAAGATGATTCATCACCTCACAGATTTTGAAACAACGTACTATGTTCAGCAAATAATGTATGTGAATAAAGACAGCCAAGAGTGATGCTGTTAGAGAAAGGAGGAAGATGTACAGTAAAGGAAAAGGCTACAGTGAACCCTGTGGTGTGAGACCGGAATCAGACACGAGTATGATCGTAAAGTTTTTAACGTATATACAGACACATAGGGAAACAGATATATGTATATTCTTTGTATATGTATATTCACACACATATTGTGATAGCTGAAGATGTGTCAACTTGGCTGGACTCCAGTTGTGAGTGGTGGTTCCCATGATGGATCACATGACTGAGTTCTAAGCGGCCGGTCTACCCAAGGGGAGTTTCCCCAGGGGTGTGGCCTACCTGCAATGCT